GTGTGGCCTTTTGTGTGGTCGCAGTCTCTTTTTGTTGTATATAGGTTTTTAGACCTTGTTTTCGCAACTCGGTCATATTGGTAGGAAGACTTATTGAAACGCACCTAGTCCGGGGTCCATTGTCTTCATGATCATTTCCAAAGTTAAACCATGAACGTGGTACATTCCCAAACGTTTCGCCTGCATTTTTCATTATTTGTTTGATTGTTCTACTCAAAGTTACTTTGATTGGAATTTGGCGAGCCATCTTTGACACTTTCGGCTCTTCATTCTATTAAGTTAACAATCATGAGCTTGGGTGGATACAATAAAATTGAGAATTTGTCTCTCTCTCTCTTGGTTGTTGCCCATCTTTTTTATGATGATGTAGGAGACGATTAAGCCTGAATGCCTTAGACACATAATTATCCTATTTTTACCAACGTTTAAAGCATATAAAATTCAACTCAAAGTTAGGATATTAAAAAAAATTGATTTTCCTTTTCCATGGTGGGAGACAATTAAAACAAATAATTGTTAATGTAACCTTAGATTGTATTGCCTGGACATATTCTGACACTCAAATATAATTGCAGACTACAAGGCGCAGTTATGCATACTATTTATTTTTCATTCACCATTTGTATGGTTGTCTAGAAGGCTCCGATTTTGTATGTGTACCTGCAAAATTTAATGACCCATGAATGAAAAATCCCACAACTTTCCATCAAAGCTGAAAAAGACGCCACCAATCCTGCGAACTCGCAGTCTACCACATGCCACGAGCATGTTGTGAAGCAGGGCCGGTACTTTTATGCTCTTGTGCGTCTAGACCGTCTCACAGTGGGTAGAGATTGATAAGAACCAAGGCCTGAATTTCGAGGGAGGGTATGTGAATGGGTGGCAGGGAGTCAAAGTGCAATCGGTGCATAATACATCATCATAACAGAGGTTTCTGTCTCCAGGCTGCAAATGGATTACCGTGGGACTCAGTCGAGGCGACTCACGCTCCATTTAGTTTAATCTTGCCAGTATGTTGCTCCTAAAATGGACTGTTGGTGGTGCTTTTGGAGGGGCCACCAGGACCAGGAGAGTGGTGAGGCAGAAGAGTCGCGTGTCAAAATGGACAGCTCACATGAGACTGGTTGGGAGGCTGTTGGCCAACGACAGTAGCTGGGCGACCAGATGAAGGGGGTAGAGGAGGGGAATGAGGCGACTGAAAAGAAGGCGCTTGAGAATGGGGCCGAGAAGTTGGGTTTAGAAATGGGTTGGAAACCAATGCCACGAATCAAGGGGGCAACCGAAGCCCGAATCACGGGAGGACAGAGGACGCGTGTAAATCTCCGCCCCAAAATGGATCTAAGCAGCCCCATGCCTACGAACTCGAGAAGGTTTGATCATGCCCCTCGACTTGTCCTCACCGCCACAAACCAGTGAAGTCACGACCGCAAAGATACGGACGTTCAGAGTGTACTTGTGCAGGAATGAGCCTGAGCGACCTTTTATCCAGTAATTTGTCTTGTCGGGGTTAGTATGCATACGATCGTGTCGATGGGCTTGATGCATATATCCTAAAGTTGTCAAGTGCGGGTGAAAGAAAACAGGGCAAGTTGAAAGACAGTGGTACAATGACCAGAAGCATGCACCAGTAAACTCGAGAAAGGTACTATATTTCTGGGCACTTCGGCTTGTGAACCTACAGAAAAGTCACAAATCACTTCAGTCATTTCAGAAACAGTCAACAGGGTCAACGTTTGTTGGCTTTGTGCTCAGAAAGCGTGTATAATTCTTGAATGAGAACTCAGTGATATAGGGATTGCTAATGCAATTTCCCATACAGATAACAAAAAGTAGCTCAATGTAAGCAGACGAATTTCCGATATTACGCAATCGGAGAAATGGTTAATTGAAAACGGGATTGGAGATCACGGAATTTGGCTATGAAAGTACATTCACCCTATTTTGCTTAAGCTAATGAAGAATTGGTGGTGCAATTTTCCCACAATCATAAGAGTGTTTACAATGGACTTCACATAGCCCTGTTTCCCAAAGGTATTCTCATCCTGCTGCGGGTTCTGATGAAACTACAGTCGACCCCAGCCAGGATATAAATAACTTTTGGGAAGCTAGGCTATATGAAATTAAATTGAAACATGACTGAAGAAAAATTTGACTCAATGTTCTTCATCATCTCAACAAAATTTGGTCAATACATCTCATATATATGATGTACTGGTAGTCCCGAAAACCTACTTATAAACGAAAAATAAGTAAGGCAGTCGATTGCTAAACTGCTTTGCCTAATCGAAAATCCCCTCACAGAATGTGGCCCTGCTTAAAATTCACATCTGCCCGCGACCCCGATGAATGCCTGTTGAGTTTTCGTCCTTCATTTGACAGACATCGTCAGTACTGGACCCTATGCTTTAAGATAATTTACCGAGCAAGAAGTCAAGAAATGTGGCTCGCTGCAATCCTACCTACTTCACATAGCTTAACCTTGTCTGCCTAATGAGACATATCATTATTTGATTGGATTTACCATGTTTTCTCTATATGCTTATTAAAAAGAGAAACTGCTGCTATGACGATGTCCGTCAGATGATGGACGAAGTTCAGCAAACGTTCATCGCGGTCGCAGAACTCTACAATCACATCTCTAAAGCAATCCTATTTCGGCTTCACAAGAGGCCAACTAAAGAATCCCAATTGTCGAGCTTATTTTCATTTCGAGTCAAAATGTTTGGTGACGAGA